GAAAAGCACCTAACCGCGTCACGAGACAAGCCCTCACATGGAACCCTCAAGGCAAAACGAATAGAGGAAGACCAAGGAACACATTACGCCGAGAAATAGAGAAAGATATGAGAGGAATGAACAAAACTTGGACAGAACTGGAGAGGGAAGACCAGGACAGAGTTGGTTGGAGAAAACTGGTGGGCGGCCTATGCTCCATTGGGGGTAACAGGCGTAAGTAAGTAAGTAAGTAAGTAATAGCATATAAGTTATTGTTATACCAAAAATGGCTTGATCAAATAAAATAATAATTGAAAGGCTTGATCAAATTAAATATGAACGAACTCAAATGTATGTGAAGGCATTACAGATTAATCTTTTAACTTGGATATTTGAAATAAATTCTATTTCTACAAAACTTTGATGTGAATTACGGATATATGAATAATAAATAAACATTAAAATACCACTTATGTGTATATATATTTCATCACAATGTTTTCTAATTCCTTTTTGCAATCAAAAATATTTTGATAGACTAACTCTAAAAGTACAAATAAATTCACGTGAGCATTGAATTGATGTCAGAGTTTTTATGGTTCTGATTATTTACTAATGATGTTGTCTACTGTTACTACATATACGTCAAATGTTAAATGAACTTTTAAAATCTTGAAGTAAATACTGTCTATGATATTAGTACTACTAGTATTATTATTATGATGATGATGATCCTACATAGTAAAATTAGGTAATTAAATAACTCTCTGTGTAAATTAATCATTTCGACTATATTTTATTAGGGTTATGATTATGTTTTATTTTCATAATGAAAACTAATAGTGAATAATAAGTTTTTGTAAGAATTTACGTGTAAATAAAAGAAATTATGCATAAACAAATGTAGAAGAATGTAAACTTATACCAAAATTACAAAAAAAAGAATAGATATAAATTAGTGAAACTGAAACATACATATAAATCTGTCTTTATCAACATATTCATTAAGACTAACTGGAATAAAGATAGAATAATGGTATGAAAATGCGTCAAGAAGGATTGGTTGTATTTATATAGAGGTACGTCTATGCTTATTGATTTTTCATGATCAGAAAATAAGTTAATAACAAATATTCTGGTACGCTGTACAAGCATTCCACTTATTTATCGTTTGTTCAATACTCTAAGGACCGCGATTCCCGTTTTAAATCTGAATGTGGAAAACAAACCTACAAATGTACTTCCATGCAGTGTGTGAAGCTTTTCGGTAACAAAACAAATGACTTTGTCGACGTTCATCTGTAATTTGTACCATTGATGACCTTGAATGTTGATTCAAATGTAAGTCCATCCATACGGTAGCCATTGCTTGTTGTTCTCGAAAATGATATTGTATTGGAATACTTTTACGAAGAGAACGCAATCGGTGAAATGGAAACGTTTATTATTGTACCCAATTGTAATGATGATTGTTTTATTGCACTCCTTTAGTTTAACTATACTAAAAACCATTACTTACGCGCGTAACGTGTTGCTTACGTTGCCTAGGTAGTTTTTATCTGCGGTTGTTTCAAGATATCTTTCCGATTTGACGAGATCGTCAGTCAATAAACCTCGTCCTCCAATCACAACTGGACTTTTGATCTTTGGCCTTAACGGGATTTAACTTGGTTAATTCGCGATAGTAGTCTCAATTCGAGAGGACTGGTGTAGACATCCGCAACGATCAGAGTAAGGTTGAGCTGATAACGTGGAGGAGAATAAGTTACAATAGTTTGTACAAGAAAGGATTTTCATAAACAGTCATAAAGAAACTTCCTATAAAGATCTTATATAACCCTACAGAAGGGATCGTGAGTATGTAACTGATCATTAATTGTTATCGTAACTGACACTATTTTAACTGAATCTTGAAATGATTCATTTGGCTTGTTTTTTCATAGTGTGATCGATTTTACACTGCTGTAGTTGATAATTTTAGGCAGTTTGCTCTGGAAAACTTAAAATTGAAGATTTGATAAGAAATTTGTAATGATTATTATTAAAACAATATAATTTGGACTGATTTCTCATGGTTTTAAATCAATGCTTTGTTATCTGAATTAAAATTCTTCAGTAAATTACGAGCACATCAATCCACTGTGTTTAAGAACAAGTCACAGAAGAATTTGGATGTGACAGATATAACTTTTTTGTTTTCTATGCGTTACATCAGTGCAGAAAATATGAGATCCTTTCGTATATATAGTTTGCATGTATGTATGTACTTGCTTGTGATAAAGTTTATGTAACATTAAGTCAATTTTTTCCTAATTAACAATTCGTGATTTTGAGGTTTTCATTCATTGAATTTTCGCTCCTTATTGAGGGCAGTTTCATGAAAGGAAGTTAGTTTTTCCGTGCATTAGGAATATTCGACATCTGTTGTAGTTATCATGCTAGAATTTAGATTTTAACTCATATTTAACGTGCTATTTCGTTTCGTATAGTGCTTTTTCAAACGTTTTTCATTTCAGATTTCACGATTTGTGGCTTTTTGGTTGGTGCGTATCTATGTATTATTATACATAATTTTTCCTGATTTAATATTGTGAGATTTTTGGCGCATTGTTGAGTTAATTATTGCATTTTAAAGCCAAAGTTCTGATAAATTTTCAATTTTTCACAATCGCTATTCATTATTTTCACGTCTGTTTGCGATTATCGGAATAGTTTGTTCTTTGATCTGAAGTGTTTTCACTTTTAAGAAGAAAAATACGATTTGTTAAGCAGCAACATCCATCATTATAGCCAATGCTACCAGTGAACGTTATTAGTGGTGAGAGATACCAGATGGACTATGATCACCACTGCATGTTCCATACCAACCCGTCACGTATATAAAAATAAATCCATGTGTTAGTATTTTATTGAAGGAGAAATTAGGCGTTACATGGGGATCAGCAAGTTAAGAAAAATGGCTTCAACGCGAAGAGAACGTTGCGCGCAAGAAGTAGAAGAAGAAGTGTTTTTGGTACGTTTAAAAAAACGAGTACAATAATATTTATTTTTCACAAATCGTATTTTTTTCGTAGAAGCGTTTCACTACACGTCCAACCGAACTTTATTCATTCTAACTGGCCGGTCACCACCTTCCTTTGGTTGTTCTATATCTTCGCTCAATTCTCTGGCATGTTTCGGTATACTTTCGATACCAAGAAATCGCCAGCAAATACGCTGAACTCATCTGGACTATCCCGTCTCCTTACTTACGATAAAAGATTTGAGATGACTCTTGGGATACGAACATAACTGGTTTATAGACGTATTCATAGTCCTTCAACTGGAACATTAAACGGTTTACCTCTATGCCCTTGTCTTTGACTATTCCAAGTAGGGGTTCGCCTCGTGGAGCATTAGAGTGATTTCTGCAGTGTGCAATCATTTCCAGCATATTTTCCTAATTTCTTTCTTTTCTGAAATCTGGTTTATTCTCTGCCAAAAAAGTTTAATGCTGATTGTGTCTGGTTAGCAGAGACAACTGTTTATTAACGCCTGTACCATTCTAATGATATTTTCTGTAATTCGTTTCAGGATTGTGTAGTGGAACGCTTTTATGAAGAGAACACGATTGGTTTAACAGAAACATTCATTATTATAACCAGTTGTACCAGTAATTATTTTACTGCACCTTTTTATTTAATCGTACCGAAAACCGACATTTTCCATTATTCGTGAACTTGACCTGGCTCACGTACACACGACTTTTTTACTGAATCAAAGTACCACCAGGTTGTATCTTTACATTTTCGCATCAACTTCAATTGTTCCATCAGTTTCACAAATAGTGAGGAAATTAATTCTGCTGATATGAATTGTCTTTCTGGGTCTCGCGAAGAAACGTCTACCTCGTGAACTCCGAAAATACTCAGCTCTGACTATGAGACCTGAGAACTCTTCTTAATAAAGACCTTCCAACAGCAAAGATTGTGTTTAAATGACTTAGATAATTTAGACTCCTAAGCAGGTTTGTTTTCCACGGGATGGGATTGCTAATTAGAAGCTCAATTCTCCTATTTTATCCGTGCTTGGGACCTGTAAAACTCAAAGTGCTTCATGCGCTGTCGGCTATGTATAAACATCTGTTATAAAAGAGATAGTATCATGAATCGAAAAGAAGGATGCATAAATCTGTGTGTTAGAGAAAGTGGTACATGTGAGGTAGCTTCTTGTAAAATTAAGTCAAAATATGGGTTAGTGATCATAGGAGGAAAAACCATAGTCTACGTTGTCTTACTGACGACTTTGCCCCTGTATCTGTAACTAGAGTTAACGATATCGGGTAGATATTTTCGTCGCTAACTCAAACTCCTAGCCAATAATTCTTGTGAAATACAGTTGATATCCGAATTTCATATTTGCCAAAAATGACTGATTTCTTACATCAGACGAGGAACATCCATGGTGCTTCTTTTAGGCAAAGTAAGCCTTATGTTACAGCTTTAACCAAACGCTTTCAG